TGCCTAACTTTTACATGACTGCAGAGAAAGGAGTATCCATCCTTTCATTACCAACATCACTGCTGTTTGGCATTGGAATCCTGCTAGGTGAGGAAGAAAACTCGGTTTGGGGCTGAAGGTGCTGAACACCAGCACAGAGGGCACGTCTTTATAGCCACACAGCTGATAGGATAATAAACACAACTTTCTGCCTCTACTGCTTCCCAGGGTTGAAACCTTCCCACTACCTCTAAACCTGCAAAGCAGAGACTAGCATATTATCACCCGTGTCTGTGTTGATAAAGGAACAGTTCTGAGCACATAACATCTGGAGTGTCTATAATTCACACCATTTACAGAACTCCTTCCCTGGAAAACTGTGGAGATAAAAACCGAAGGTTGTGCTTAGTAACAAAATCTCAGCCTTCCCTGTGGAAAGGTTAGAAAAATCTCTATTTTCACAGTGCTGAGAGTAGAGGTCTGTTACTGTTACAGTGGTAACATCTGTGCCAGGACAGCTGGAGACAGATGTCATTACACTGACAGGACTGCTAATGAGAAGGAAAAGCAGCCCTGTCTGCATGCTGACCCTACCAGAGAAAGTTCCAATTTTAGGTATGATGTTGACTATACAGTCATTCAGCTGTCTGTATCCTGTGCTTTGTGCAGTGAGTGGCTACACAAGCGAAATTAAAACGAAGTCAGGGCATGAGCTTGAAGCACTGTGTTAGCGCTGCCCACATTTTTGTATTATTGCTACAGATTCATCAGTGATTTCAGCATGTTCAAGTCAGAACTCTTCCAGACCGCAGCCAAGAAAGGTGTGGGGAATAGCCTGGGCCAAAGACATTTCCCAAAAGGCAGTTTGAGTATGCCCATCCTGCTTGAGTGGGCAGGAGGGTTTCATCTGATGATAATGAGCTGTGCTGTGCCATGTAGCCTCAAGACCAGACAACATTTCCTGGCTCAGTTTATTATCTTGCACAAACATAATCACTGATACAAATGAAAAATTTTCAGGATTACTGTTTTGTCAAGTACTAATTCTGATTTTCTTCTCAGTAGGGAAGCTCTTTTTTGTATGTCAGTTATGTTTGAAGCCCAGGTAAAATTATTATTAGAAGTAATAGTGTCCCCAGACATAAGTCACACATTACTGACTGCACTTTATATAAAAGTATATGAAGAAGATGCAGCAGTGGTGGCAAGACTGAACCATCACCTGGTACAGCAAGACTTGTGTGCCATTTTAAACTGCACAAGGAACAATTGAATAAATTAGGGTTCCTTCCACAGGATTGCTAAAACACATGACTGAGGAGGGAATATGGCAGAAGTCTGTAAAATAACAGTGGACTAAAGAATTTTCACTGCTTCTTCAGTATTAGAATTGGGGCACATCCAAAGAAACTGTCCAGTAGGATGTTCAAGACTTGAATGGACACAGTGAAAAGAGTTACTTCTTCACAGAACATTCAGCTAGACTGTGGGGTCCCTTGACAGATGTTGCATGTGCCAAAAGTTCACAGGAGTTCTAGAACTGATTGGTCAAATTCATGGAAGAAAAGTCTTTCGAGGGCTACTAAATTTGCAGATAACACCTCAGACTCAGGGGCACCTTGTTGCTCTGGTTGGTTAAAGCTGGGTGAATATTCTGGGATATATCACAACAACTGTACAATTCCCTGGATACCTGTTGTTGGCCACTGCTAGAAACACACTACAGCACTAGACAGACCTTTCACCTGTATCAATATGGCTGTATTATGTCTTTCCCTGCCTGTTGGGTTACTCCACCATTAAACCGGCCTATGATCATATTCTCCCCATATTTATTACACAACTGGGCTCATGGAGGACAAGAGACTCTTCCTCTGCCTTTCCTAAATAAGACCAGGAAGTAGGAGGTGGTCTCTCTCCCTTTGCTGGCCAGGAGTTGAAGGCAGGGGAGGAAGGAGAAACCACTCCATCCACAAGAAAGCTGGGGGATTTGAACAGCACTGTGTACTAGGGAGCCTTAATCTGCTCCCTAATTCCTTCTCTGTTCTTGAGCTTATACTGGCATTTTGATGAAGAGAGAAAGTTATCCCTTCCTGTACCAAATGGCTGCTCTTCTCCAGAAGGCTAGTAGGCAGATGTCAGCTTGAACTGAACTCCCAGCCAAGAGGGGATTTAACCTTTGTCCATTAGGAGAAAAGTTTGACTGCAATTCACTCTCACCTTTTGGGAACTGTGTTCCCCAATTTGTAACTCAGTATGTAAGAGCACTGGTTCCTGAGATCAATACAGGAATCTCACAATGAAGCCCAGTGGCCTGTGAAAAGAAGCCATACATCTTCTGGCCTCCAGGTTATTGACCTGCTCCAAAAGCATTAATACATGGCCTGATTTAAAGAAGGTCTGAACCTTTAAAGCTCTGAAAATGCTACACAGTGGAATATAAATAAAATGGCAGAGTAACTCCTATCTCTCAGTCTCTCATTTCCTAGCAGGGATATGCCTGCCTGCCTAATGCACAATGTTAGGCACAAGGGCTTGAGCAAACTATACAAGCACAGCTATAGTCATACAAGTCAGTCCTGAACACCTGAACTCTAGCCATGGAAAAGCTAACTGCTTGGAGAATCTCATATTAGACAGTGGCAATACATGTTTATACCTGCAGCCAGACATTACAGTTGCCTCTCACTTCCCAGTCCATGGGAACAGAACTTCTGGGAGTGATGAGTCGGCATAATTTGGCTTTACTACATTTTTCTTTTTATAAAATGGTTTCTCATAGAATATACACATTTAAAAGCATAAATTAAAAATGTTGAGATTTTTTCCCTAACCTTTCACAACCCTCTTTTAATCATGTGCACAAACAGTAGTTTGGGAAGCCCAGAATTAAAGGCCAGTTTTCTAGACCTTCTATAGTCATCAAGACTCTGTTTTGCTAAAATAAAACTTCCTTCCTATTCTTTTCAGCTTCAGTACCTCATTTCCTCCTTGTACAAGGGCTGCCCTTCAGCATTTCCATCAAGAGGTGAAGAAGAAAAGCTCTTTGACACAAGAAGGATTACTTACTTCATTGCCTAGTGTGTTTGTCCTGGGCTTGCATTTCCCTGTATTATTTCCTTTCTTTCTCCTTTTTCCCATAGGAAGGGATTCTATATCTGTGGTAGTACTATGCCATGTTTGCACTATTTTTACAGCTCTGTTTTGGTGCTTCAAGTCTTTGTGAATTAAGGAAGAGGTGATTGACCGACAAAAGGGGTTTTTCTTCTCATTTTCTGAGAGATTCTCACCAGTACTCTGCACTGCCTATCCAGATATTCAGATGAGGGATGGAGGGAAAATTATTCTAAAATGAATAATTCATGTAATAAAACCAAACCATCTAACACACAGTGAGCTACCACAATGTGAAATTCTGCAGGTAGGATGCACAGTGGAGCTAACAATGATAAGCAGAGTAACTCCAAGAAATCTCACAACTATAGCAGTTCCTCAATACACATTCAAAAAAGATCAAGATCCATCACCCAAACCTTCCACAAACTAGCTTAAAACATGCTCCATGTAAAGTATGCTAATATACTAGTTAGTCTTCTACTCTTCTTTCTTCCCCATGTGAGTCAAAGAATCTCTCCCTTCCCTCTATCTCTTCAATCTTAGAAATGTCAGGAATGCAATATCCTGTTTTCTTTGGTTTTTGCTGGGGGGCCATGTGGGTGCTTTAGGAAATGTTTAAATGCTGAAACTTTAATAAAGAGCTCAATTGTCCAAAAGAACCTCATTAGTCATGGACAATGAAAGACTATTAATAGCAACATCAACAATATGCAAACAAAAAGTCAGAACAGTGTTTAAAAGCCCTTTCTTCTCTCAAATGTTAAAGATCCCCTCACTTCAGCCTTGTGATAACCTCACTTTATTACTCTGCAGTCAGCTGTTCTGTTTGTAAAACTGTAATTTCTATTGTAAACAGTCCTTCCAAGAAATTCCCTTGTGCTTTTGGAAAGACACCTCTTTCAAGGCTTTTACAATCCATCATGAAGAGGTAAAAGAGAGCTCATTTTTGTCCCTTTGAAAAAGTCACAATTTTCACTTTTGAAATAATACCACTTTTAAGAACTATAGCCTTGAAACAAGCCAGGCTAACGAAAGTGATTTCATAGTAAGCCAGGCAAGCACAGATTAATAGCATTTTACTGTGGATGAACCTTTCACAGTAACAAAACATGTTTTACTGCACACCCTTGCTAGGGCTTCTGAATTGCAATGAAAAGCAACAGAACAGATTTGCTTCTAGAGGAGAGAGAGTAAATACAAGCACACTTCCATTCAGACTATTTAGATGCTAGAAAAAATTTTCTTTAAAAAGCAAATTCTTCCCTGCAAAACTCAATTAATGTTGCAAACTTGATAAACATGAATGCATGGCAGGTAAACTAATAAGGAAGAATCAAAGCTAAGCTAAAATAGAAGAGTCTATATAGCGAAATGAAAACATAAAAGGGATGGAAAGGCCCAAATAAAATATCTGCCTTTAAGCAATTTGCATTCTCTGCTTTTTTTGCAATGCAATCAAAGCCATCAACTATATATAGCTCAGTGTCTCATTGGACAGCAAAAAACAACTTAGCAACACAACCAAGTCAATCCCTTCTTCTACAATACAACATGTTTTTAATTAAGAAAGAATGCCAGGGTGTAGGAGACCTTGCAAGTTCAGTAAGCTGAAAGCATTCAATTTTTGGAAGTGGGGGGAAAGGGTTAAGCTTTTTATTGTAAACTTCACATGTTTTATGTTAATGTAACTGTTTAAGCCCTTCCTTGACTTTCTGATCATGTCTTTTGACAGGAAAGGGAGTATTTGTTTTGTCTGATTTTAACTCTCAGGAAAGCAAACTAGAACTGTCCAAAAATGTCTATCCTTTATTCTGACCTCTGCCTTCCAAAAGGAGAAGTTTAGACATGATGCATTTTCCAGAGAATGGAAGTATGAAATTCTCTTTCTAATGGAAAAATCTCACCTGGGTAATCATTCTTGTCTACATCTGAGTCTCCTCTTAGAGTGAAGCCAAATCCCGAAGGCATGGACTGTGAGGCCCAGGCTCCACTGAGAACCTGGGAAGGGTTAGTGTTTAACCCATTACTGTATCCATTGTAAATGAGCACTTTTCCTCCTCTGTCTTCTCCTGCAAATGGTGCACCAATAGCAATATCTGCAGTGCAGAAAAAGAATAAAAAGAATGGATGCAATTAAAATAAAGCAAAAATTAACTCTCTGCAGGAAAACAGACACAAATGGCTTCTGCTACAAACATCCAAGAACTTTAACATTCTGTACTTCTGTATGGGTTCCAGTTTTAAGGCAAATATACAAAAATATTTGCAGTGTCTTTTCTGTGTCAAACTTTCATGACAAAAGCTTATAAAATAATCCTATGAAGAGGTTATTGAATTATACTAAATAGCCAGTCCACGCTGGATTCCTGTACATATTTCCAGGGCAGTTAATTAGCTTTAATAAACCAAGATCTAATGAACGCCTGCTTCTACTTTCATATATTTAAACAGGCACAAATTTTCCTTGATTTCCTCTATCACCTAATTAATAAGGAACAGCTGCTAGATAAAAGGAAATTTCTTTTTCCTGATAAAATATTCTACATAGTCAAAAAAAAGCCCACTCCCTCAAACATCCAATGCTTTAGTATGTAAGAGAGAACAATGGAAGACAATGTTTTCATCTATACCAAGCCATCATCTTATTGAGAAATAGGAATAGTACTGAGTCAGATATTTAACAGGAGGCCTTGGGCACTCTGTGATTAAAATGAGGTGACATATCCAAGAAATGGAACTCCCAGTGCTCTCCCTAATTCCTAGGCATGGGATGCAGAGACAATCGTGTCTAGAATGAGTTTCAACAGCCAAATTAGGTGAGCTAGCCAACAGGAAACACTAGAGGATACATATCTACAGCTCTCAAGTTTAGGCTCTGATCTAGGAGCTGATGCTGAACTCTTTATTAAACATGACTTGAGTACCTGGAATCTGTTGGTTCACTCTAAAGGCAGGGTACCAAAATAAGTGCACCAAAGCTCTAGGGCTGACATCTTCAGTTATGACGCAGAAAACTTGGCTTTAGATTATTCTTAGCCGTCTCTGTAGAGCAGCACAGAAAACTAGGAATGTCTCCTGCCTGCCTTATCTGAATTCTGGAGAGCAGGGAAACGAACATTCCCTGCCCAGAATAGCTGAGGTCATCTGCTATTGCCCACAGGTAGAAAACAGGAAGTTTTCAGCTGGGCCGAACTCCACGGTGGGATTTCAGGACAACCCAGTGAGGGTATTCTCAGCAGCCACAATCTAGTGGCTTTTAATCTACCCACAGGAGGATATTCAGATTTTATGCACTTTGAACCCAAATACAATCCTATGGCTCCTGACATGACTTATCCTTTGCACAGGAACACACATTGATGACATTGCCCTAGAGTCTAGTGGCTGAAGCACTGTGAAAAACAGCCCTCAAGTTATGAAGGATTATGATTTTTCCTTAGTGGAACAACTATCTTTAAGGCTACTGTGCAAAACAATTCCTCCAGGAAGAACTTGGCATTTTAGATGCAGAGATGCATGCTTTGAAGATCCCCAACATCCTGGAAATAAGAAGTATGGAAATGCATGCAGGGAAAACCAAGGTGCTACTGACCATGTCTAGGAGGCTTAACTCTAGGTGCTCAAGGCATCAACTTACATCAACATTTTGTTGCCTGCATGTGCTATAAGCATTTGAAAAGGGTCTCATTAGGTACCAGTTTCTTTCTGTGCCTAAGTACCAATGGAAGTCTAATTCCAAAACAGTACTTCTGTGCTCATCCAATTCTTTCATTGCTGGCAAAATGCTCCATGTACTGAGCCTCATTTAATTCTCAAACTCTTCCAAGCATTTGAGGAGAGAGCTCTGCTTTTTAAACAAATGCAACATCTCAACTAAGTATTTACATGTAATTATAGTCATAAACCAAAAGATAATATTTTTATTCAAAAGAATATGCTAATATTTAGTAAAAAATGGCACTGTAATCAATGTGGCTGCCCTCTTATCAGTAAGCTTTTCATGATTTGGCCCTTAATATCATTTTCAGTAGGATTAGTGTAAATTCTTGTGACTTTCAGAGGCACTTACGTGTTAAAAAGCCTTTTTCAGCCACTGCACCAGAGGCAGTTACATGTTAAAAAGCCTTTTTCAGCCACTGCACAGATATTTCATAGTCATTGCTTAGCCAATTTGAATTTCAATGTTATACAGAGATATACTACATGACATATAAATTACCATTATATCCATCTTGATTGAGATCTCCAAGGTGTGTGATTGCACTGCCAAATCTACCAAACACTTCAGTGCCTGTCAGAATTTGCGCATCTCGGAAGAGGAATGCACTTTCTTGCAGATACAGATAAACTTGCCCGACTTCTTTAGGCTTGCTCTCAAATTCTCGTTCCATAAAGAGAGGGGCACCAACTAAGATATCATCTAAACTGGAACAGTCAAACAAAAAACAGTGTCACTGAGAGACTGAGTGCAAGCAACACAGTTTATGCATTTGCTAAACAGGAAGCTGATAATTACCATAGAGTCATAGACTAATTGAGGTAAAAAGGCACTTCTGGAGTTCTAGTCCAAACACTTGGTCAAAGCATGGTCAGTTAGGGAAGTCTGCCCATGCCTATGCCCTGTCCAGTTTTGAGTACCTCCATGGATGAAGACTCCACAACCTCTTTGGGCAACTGCTTCCATTGTTTGATCACCATCACAGCAAAAACATTTCTTTCTAGGTTTAAATGGAAATTCTTGCACTTTAATCTATGCCCACAATAGACAATGAAAACACACTTCGTAGTTAATGATCCTGAAGTCAGGATTTAACTATGGGGGAATCTGTGTTACTAGAATAAATTGTGTAGATCTACTCTGCTAACAGTGCTAGTGAGAGACAAATTTTAGTGTAAAATCTAGTTTTTGCAACTTATACATCAGCAAGTGAACAAAAAAAATTGCCATTTTACATCAGAGTTTTGAGTAAATACATGAAACACAAGTAGAGCATCAATTCAAACAGAAGCTGGGAGACAGAGCCAAAGCTTTATTTCTGAAAACAGTTCTGTCCAATATTAGGTACATGAGTAGCTGCAGTGCTCACATAATTTGCCATATTGAGTGTTAAAGAGAAAGGATATCATCAAATCACAAAAATACGATGCTTAGAGGGAAAAGTCTTTCTGTCCACTTTGCTACTCCAAGAAAAATCAGTAAAAGAACACAGACTAATCAAAGGATATTTTGCATGTTATTGTTCTAAATGGGCATGTTTCAAAACATGTTACCAGCATTTTTTTAGTGGGGAAAAAAGACTGTTTAATGAACAGTGAAGAATAAAATCAAGTGAGATTGAAGGACATATATCAAGTAGAAGTATTCTTAATCGACTATTGTGAGATATGGAATGACAGTACTAGATTAACTGCTTAAGGTTGCTCAAACCTGTACAAGCAAATAAAATAACTCCTGTTATATCCAGTGGTCATTGATCATCTGTATTAAGGAACCCTGTTACTGCAAACAACTAGTACTACTTGATCCCAGAATTTTTAAATTTGTCCAACATTCTCCTGCTGTAATGTGAAACTTAGTTCAAACATCGTAAAACTCATAGAAAACTTTCTACCCTCAATTCATCATACCCCCAATACCAATGTTTTTCCAAAGACTATTAGCAAAGTAATTAGTAAAATTGCATTACATTGTTTTTCCCAATCTGGACAGAAAAAAAATAAACCTCTATGATGTAGTAGTAGCTCAGCTACAACTTTACTGTAGATATATACTATGATTCTAAGATATATGCTGTTAAATTTAGCACAGAATATCTCATCAAGAAGCCTTTTAATTGCATTGTAGAACTTACACATTCTATAAATTGTGACAAAGTACTTCTAGAAATGCTATTTTTCTGTTAAGTTTGTTGCCATAAAGGAAACTGTAATTTAAAATGTCAGGTCACTTTGGTACAGCTGTTCTATTTTTCATGTTAGATTTTACCCTATGGCACAAATAACTAAAAAAGGAAGGAAGCAGATGCTGACTTGACATCAGTGGTGGGATTTTCCTTTCACACTAAACATCAAAAGTCCTCATCTACTAATGGAAGATGTTTGTGGTTGGGACAGAGTATCAGTTGAAATTGTTGCCATAGCAACAACAAAAACAAATCACAAATGCTCTTTTAAAAATAAGTAATTTTACGTATGCCATGTACTTAAAGCATTACACAGTAGTACTATCAACAATTACTATTTTATTACACTGCAGTCCAGATATTCCCCGTAAACGGGGACCCCACAGGGTTATGTGTCATATAAACCATGAAATAAATGATTAGCTTGGCTCACATTAATATTTTATAAATGAGTGATTGTAAGACTAGAGGTGTTAAGGAACCAAACCACTGAGAGTTGAGAAGATCCCTGTACATTGATATAAAGTAAATAGATACCCAGATACCTTTAAAACTCTGGTCCATATAGTGCCCAAAATGGTGAAAAGGGAGAGGCAAACTATCTATCATGGTCTAAAACGCTCTAAGCAGAAGCCTAACCCAGGACACAAGATTCATCAGGCGAGACAGAAAGCAGACAGGAGCTGGAGCTTGTGCAGGAATCACAGCACCTCAGCTAGAAAGTGTACAGTGCTGGGTTATTTTTCTAGGAAAATTTCTACTTTGCTAAAATACATGACAATGACTGTATAAAATGCATGAATAGTCCAGGAAGCAGAGACCAGAACCAAGTACCTAAGATGGCTCATCTTCCAATTTACTGAGGGATAGGTGGAAGGAAAGCAGTCATCGCGTACACTGACCTATTTCTAAACTGGTTATGTGCTTGAGAGCTACCTGGAACACCCGCAGCACTTGGTCTGCTTTCCCTCCAGGTCTTCACATGTACTGCCTCAACCAAAGGCTTCCTCTCATCACCCTCTTGATTTTTCCCCTTCTTTGCTAGTGCTGAGCCATGTAGGTCAAGGCAAGTTGCTTCAGCAAGTCCTCTGTAAGAAGGAATTCTCCCTCAGGCGTTTGGGTTTAGAGTTTGGTCTTTTTGTGCTGTCACAGCAGTGTACTACAGCCAGAGAGGAAGGATTCATCAGGTACCCAACCCTCTCTGATCCTCATTTTCTTATATCTGGTTTATCTCCAAAAGGATAAAATAAGCAAACAATTACCTCCTACCTTCTACAGTTTAATTACTCAGACAACAAGCAGTCAAGGAGGTGGGGGTGTGTGTACTTGTTGGGTTCTAAGTACCTATGTGATTAGTACTATGGATTTTTGTTGGTAAAGGAGGATGTTTCAATTGGCCTTCAAACTGTAGTTCATACTTACAAAACTGGAGTTCTAAGCCAAATTCAGGTTGGTGTGATCCCTTTAAAAAAGCTGGAAGAGTAAAGAGTAAAAGTCCCTGGACAGTATTATTAAACCATGAAGTGCAGTTCAGTTTGCAGTGACATTCTGAGCTACTTCATTAGATTTATTTTATTGCTGCACTGAGATGTTGCAGTTAACATAAATTATCTATTTATTTTTGTTCCAGCACAGAGAGGTAACCAGCCAGCATTACTTCCCTTCTGATAAAAAGAATAAATCTTTTAAAAGCACAAAGCTGACCACCTGCCGAGACTGTATGCCATTTCTTTGTATCCTGCTGAGTAATAAAAAGCAGGAGTATGGGAAATGTCAAGAGGTCGAAGTATAACTATGGAAAGCTTTGATATAGGCCAAATAAAAAAAAACCCCAGTAAACAGTTTATTTCACTATTTTTATTGGACTGTTTCAGCCTAAATTGAAAGTGTTCTCTTTTTCCCTCTTTACTAGGAATGTAGCTGATGGCAAAGCTTGATGTTTCATTGTGGATTTCTCATTATTAGCAGCAGACAACTAAACGGTAACAAACAGTATCCTCAATTTTCCTATTCTGCCTACAATCCTGATGTGGTACTGATAAAACTGCAAGAGTCACCCTGAAATACCTGCAGAACTGCTGGAGCAGAAGGTCTACAGAGCTTTTTTTTTACTAGGATAAGCCTAATCTTTGAGCCATGTCTTCAGTCTTATTAAAGCAATGCACCATCCTATTAATCTTTTCAGCAAACAACTTAATCAGATTTCTCATACTGATAAGGCTACCACAACCACCTTATCTTTCACTGCACAAAAAGCCCAAGTGAATTCAAAGTGTTTAATTTCCCTTTTGCTTTTTTTTCTATTTTACTCTTCCTTTCAGATAAATATTTCTATTGACTATATGTGCAAACCAGCAAAGACAGACTACATATCTAATCAGACATGTTTATCAAGTAGAGCTTTTTGTGTTTTGTTTTCTGTGGGATGTTTGGATCTCAGGAAGGGTCATTAGATTTCTTTGAAGATACAGACTGGGAGACCACACAGGCCTCAACAGCAGTTTGATTATATTATTGACATAAACTGTGGTTTTAGAGGTACACAGAAAATATGAGACCTGCCAAGTAACCCTACGATACACAGGAAATAACCTGCACAGGAAACAGTTTGGTTCTGTGAGAAGTTAAATAGCAAGTTTCTTGAAAGTCTAATGAGTGCCTATTGCAACTTAGATTAAGGTTTCTTGACCCTTTCACATTAGTAATACATTATGGTAGGACTAAATTAATTCTTACTCTGTATATCATAAAAATAGGAATTTTCAAAAGCTATGGTACTATGACAAAATTTGATCTCAGAAGCTCGGAAAGATTTGAGTGCTATGAAGCCACCACCAAAACTGTTGAGGCTTCTGGATTTTTGTTGTTGTTGTTTTGTTTTAACTGCAATAACATTTTACCACATTGTTAGTTTTCTCTTTTCTTGTATTCCTCATTCTTTAAAGGGTCACTAGTCACTGATGGGAAGAAATGATGTAGCCCAGAAAAATTATTTAATGTTTAAGCAGCTAGTAAGAAATGATCACAAGAAAAGAATATGAAGTAGACACATCTGAGACATTTTGCACTAGGAAAGAGTATGCCACACCTCTAAATATAGTCCTGGCTCACCTTTGTGCAGACTTCAAAAGCTCTGAGCTTCAGGGATCTTTATCTCCTTGTTAGAAAGCTGGTATTAATATTTCCTTACTAAAGTCCTATTCCTCTAAAATATTTAAGCAAGACTTCATGTGAGTGGAAATTTAACAAGTGCTTTGTTCAACAGGGCCTGAAATCCCCAAGTGTCTTAAGCATGATCCTGGGAGCTGAGCAGCATTCTCACTGAGACACACTGCCTGCCATAGTAACTATGAGACATGGAAACTTACTGGTCCTTGGGATGACAGAAATGGATGGCCAACCAGGCAGGTGCTGGAATTATGAATGAAGAGCTGATGATGTTGGAAAGCTTTTAAAATTGAGAAGTGAAGCTATGGATGGTATATGTGAGAAGACTTACCTGCTTTTGAGAATGGGAGAGTGAACTTTTGACTTTCACCACTTCTTCCCAGTAGGAGCTAGCACTGTTTATTCACTGTTTTCTACCTGGATCTGTTTCCTAAAACTTTGGACAT